CTCCGCAGAATTTGTTAATTCAATCTCCGACGTTATACTCTGCTTTTTTCTCAAAGTAGCTTCATCTGGTCTGTTCCTGTTTGGCTGTGACTCCATCCTGGAGAGAAATATCAGCTGTGCTGCTGCCATCAACACCTTTGTTTATAGATGTTCGAGATTGGCCTGTTTTTTAGTGTAGTCCTGTTTGTCTGACTGGGACTGGCTGGATGGCTCGGAGCTCGTCTGCCTGGCTGTGTGTGTCCTTGACTGGGCTGCCTGTGGAGCTGGTTTACAGTTGCTTTTTTTGTCTCTGCTTCTTTCTGTATGTCTGCTTCTGTCTCCTTGACCCCAGTCGGCCTCGGCAGATGGCCGCTCACACTGAGCCTGGTTCTGCTGGAGGTTTCTTCCTGTTAAAAGGGAGTTTTTCCTCTCCATTGTCGCTACAAGCATGCTTAGTGTGAGGGATTGCCTTCGAGTCAATGAGTCGATGCAATCAACTGGTTTTCCTTAGATAGAAAACTTTGAATCAATTTGACTGTATGATCTGGTGAACTTTAAAGTGCCTTGAGATGATGTGTTGTGAATTGGCGCAATATAAATAAACTGAATTGAACAATTTGGGTATAATTTCTGCTCCAGGTGGGTCATTCTTTTAGCTAAAGGGATGTTTTAGAGTCACTACACAGTTAATCAATCGATTACTAAATTAGTTAAAGATTATTTCAATATTCGATTCATCTGATGAAATGTTTCAGCCCTAATTAAGCAGCTCTATCCTTGTTTATTTGAACTCGATCAATTTATTAAATCTTTATGTTTTACTCTAATTCAGAAATCACAATTGATGTGAACTTACATTTACAAATTGGACCCGTGTTCAGACTGTCATGAAAAGATAAGATAAAGATAAAAAAAATATATAAAAACAATTGGATATGGGTCACTTCAGGTTGCAGTGTGAACGTAGCCTAGGTGTGTTAAAAATGTTGTGTCACTTTAATAACTGACTTGCCAGTGGTACATGCCACCTGTGAAAGTGGCATGCAAGTCGAATTTTTGCTCTAGGGACTGCTGAAAGGATGAAGAATATCCTTTATGCAGTTGTGTTGGTGTATAATAACACTTGAAAAACTAATTAGGGAAGGCATCCCCAAAGTTGTTATTTGAGGACCAGTGTCCTGCAGGTTTTAGAGGTTTCGCTGCTTTAGCACAGCTGATTCTGGTGAGTGTAGTTCAGCAAAAGCCTGTTAATCAACTATTAATGTAAATCAGCTGTGCTGGAGCAGAGAAACCTCTAAAACCTGCAGGACAGCGGCCCTCGAGTACCGACTTTGGGGATGCCTGAATTAGGGTATCACCTAAATAGAGTCCATTTAGCTGTGCAGCATGGTGGAGCAGCCTAACCTCTCTCCTCTGCCACTGAACTAGTGTAAAAACAGTGGTCTGTTTTATAGTCCTTCACTGAAACAAAGTGGCAAATAGTCTGACAGCACGGTACAGCAACATACTTTGTCTTTTAATTATAGTTTTACATATCTGTACATAAGTATTATATATGTTATGCATCTTTTTTTTATTAAGTGAACCAGGCTCAATTTTGTTATAGCTTATAAATAAATGCAATAATGTGTAAGAAAACTTGTTTGTTTTTTAGACAGGCAATGAGTTGTTAATCACAAATAAATATGCTCTTCATGTTGTCAAAAGAGCTTTTTGTTACAAGAGAAAATTGTTTTTTTTAGAAACAGCTACTTATCAATTATTGTTGATCAATAAGATAATATAAGATAATCAACTTTTTAATAACTTATTAATTAATAGCATCCCAAACAGCTTGATATCCGAATTCAAGGTTTTACCACAAGAATTTCATACCAGCCCATGTGTTTTTTGTAATAGGGCTGCAACTAATGATTATTTAGCAAATTGATTAATCTGTTGATTATTTTTCCGATTAATTGATTAATAATCAGATAGCTAAAGAAGACTTTTTTATTAAATTAAACCAGGTGAAACTAAAACATTTCCATTTGAGTTCTGGACAGAGCACACGAGGGGCGTTAAATAGGTAATGCCCCTGACCCACTTTCAGATGTTTGATCCAGCTGAAATTTTGCATGTGACGTTATTCAAATCTCTATAGATTAAGTAGCAAATCACAGCTCTGAATTATTTGTGTTTTCTGACTTACAGGTGTTTGAACTAAGAAAAGTCTGAAATGGAGCCTGTTGAGTGTCGAGCAGCGATCAGGTTTTTCTATTGGAAAGGACTCACACCACGGGAGACTTTTGATGAAATTAAAGTAACTTATGATGATGATGCAGGTTAAATGACCTTGCAAAATGTTTTACAAGGTTATATTATGGGACATTATCACTATAAGTTATTTTCATTTGATCAAAAGTCTCCCATTGTGTGCATCTTTTTAAATGCAAAATCTCAGACTTGACTCAGTTTTAACAGCAGTAAATCAGAAACCACAATTAGTTCAGAGCTGTAATTTGCTATTTAATCTATAGAGATTAAAAATACTTCACATGCAAAATATCAGCTCGATCAAACATCTGGAAGTAGGCCAGGGGCATTACTTATTGGATGCCCCTTGTATTGACAGACAAAAACGTTTTTTCATCTTAAATGCAAAACGTTTTATAGATTATTTTACAAATTTGATAATATTACTGCTGTAGGTGGGTTGCCCTGTCAGCTAAAGCCATGTTTTACAGTCTATATACTCCATGTAATGATCAATCGATTACTAAATTAGATTATTTTTATTTCGATAATCGATTCATCCGATTGATTGTTTCAGCCTTGGCAAACAGACTGACTGCAGATCAGGATTATGACTCAGGTGATTGTAATCCTTGCAGCTACATTTCAATGGAAGCTCCTTCCTTGGCATCATTATAATAATCTATCAAAGATCCTCAGAGGGTTTTATTATCCAGATGTTGCCGTGGGACTAAAAACATTCACAGACACCTTAGATGTTCTTGGTATCCCAGCTGGGAGCTGCACACTGGCCTTTGGCATGTGGATGGTCGTTTGGTGCATGGCGCGTGTTTTGAAGCTGCTTATGGAGAAATGTCTTGGGCCGTGAGTAGTGAGGAAACAGGAAGCGATTCTTGTGGGATGGAAGAGGGAAATAGTGACAATGAAGGTTGGAAGATAGCAACATCAAAAAATGAGAAAAAGCGGAAAAAACAGAGATCAGTTCAAGGGGAATCTAGTTCAGAACAATCCAGTGATGATCATTCCATACATTCCACAGCACAACAAAATGAATTCAAAGTCATATTCAAAGTCGTTAATCAGGCAGACTCTTTTACAAATTGGAATCCGGTTCACTTAACAAAAACCATCAATAAACTTGTCGGAGAAGTCAGAGGTGCCAGAATTCTGTACAGTGGAGACCTGCTAATTAACTGCAGAGACAGCGCCCAGCAAGGCAAAGCAATACGGATCAACAAAATTGACGGGATAAGAGTTCAGTGCAGCCTAATGGAGAACAAAAAGATCAGCAGGGGAGTCATTGGAGGAGTTCCTCTAAAAATTTCTGAAAAAGAGATTCTGGAAAACATAAGCGGTGCAAAAGTAAAAGAAGTAAAACGGTTAAAAACAACAAGAAACGGAGAAAGATCTGACAGTTTATCAGTGCTAATTAAATTTGAGGAAGAGCAATTACCAAGCAAAGTATTCATCGGTTACATAAGCTATAATGTCAAAATCTACAATCCTCCACCATTGAGATGTTTCAAATGCCAAAAATTCGGTCACATTGCAGCAGTTTGTAAAGGGAAACAGAGGTGTGGAAGGTGTGCAGGAGAACATGAGTACGGAAAATGTGGAAAAGAAGCTAAAATAAAATGCTGTAATTGTGGTGGAGAACATACTGCTGCCTATCGCGGCTGTGAAGCAAGCAAAAGGTCTGAGGAAATTAAAAAAATGAAATTTGAGCTCGGAATAACCTACGCTGAAGCTGCAAAAAGGATCCCATCTCAGTCAGAAAAACCCAAACCTACAGTTCAACACACGGCAAATTCCAAACCTCTAGAGAATCAAAAAATTGATGAAGACTCACTTATTGTTAAAAAGACAAATTTTGTTCTTTTCATGGTAGAAGTAATTAATTGTACTGCACAGACAACAAAAAAAACGGAAAAAATCAAAATAATAGTGAAGGCTGCAGAAAAATATCTGGACATTAAAGATTTGAACTGGGAGATGGTTGGAAGTATGATGGGAGGACCGATGGGACCATCAGAAACTGGCAGAGTTAAGATGACCTAGAGTAAATTAAAAATTATATGGGCAAATGTGATTTAGTATTATGTTGGTTTAAGTTACACAGGTTTTTTTTTTTTTTTTTTTTTTTTTTTTTTTTTTTTTTTTTTTTTGGGGGGGGGGGGGGGGGGGGTGAATCGTTTTCTGTTTTCTTGCTTTACTCCATATCAGTTGGTGGCGGTAATGCACAATTCACAAGTCTGCCAACCGCCATAAAACCCCATAAGAAGAAGAAGAAGAAGAGCTGCACACTGAGATCCACTGTCTCTGACCAACACTGTCTTCACCAGTGCTGAATATCAACGAGATGCAAACGATGCAAAAGACTCCTCACTGCAGCGCTTTAGCAACAGGAGGCGTTTTCACCAGCTTTTTCTGTGACCGACCCATGCTTTTATTTGTTGCCCCTGCATTGTTCCACCCATGTCGCTTCTAAGTGGATTAACCAGAATAACTGGCTCGCCAACACTTTCCTGTCAAACCACAGCACTAACTAGCTGCCACTCACTGACAGTCTATGGCGTCTAATTCCTGGCGTCAATGTAAACACTGACCAAAAAAAAAAAAAAATAGGCAAATTCATACAGGCGTGCTCAGTTATTGACAATATTTTAATTCAATTACGTGTGGGTCTGAAAACACGAATAAAAAAAAATACATCTGTAAAATAAATTTAAGGGGCTGGTTAATTAGCCGATGAGTCCTGTCCATTAAATACACGGAGCCATTCTTACCGTTCTGTGGTACATTCGTTGCTCCACTGTATTCTAAATCCTCCCTTTTCTCTCCAATATGTTTCTTTCCGTCAGCAGTGGGATACAGGTGAGGAGAACATAAGAAAGAAGCAGGAATTCGTCCGGGTTCGCTGAGTTTCGGTTAGCCGGACCACAGAGCTACATGCTAGCACCTAGCAGCCTGATGTCCGAAGCGCTCAGGTGGATCCAGGGCTGCCTGTTCCATCCCAACAACTCGACGTCAGCGCCAGGACCCGCTGCGTCACGTGAGAGACTGAAAATGAATCGGTTCCTACAACTGACAGCTCCGATTTGACTGGACGGAGCGTGAAAATGGCGTTAACCGGCGCCCCCTGCCCCTCCTCGGCTAGACTGATGTCATCTGGACCGGATTAGAGAGAGAGAGCTGCGGTGACAGTAATCAGCAAGATCTCTGCGACAATCTGTAGAGCTGGAAGAGAGGAGTTGCCAGTATTCATTGGCATTTTGGATCTAATTGGAATTAAAACTATAATACTATCAAAAATCTTCAGATGATATATTAAAAGTGTTAAGTGAGACTATGGCGCCACCTGGAGGTGAACATGGGAGCCAACAAAATCTGTTGCACGCACTGATCTTTGATAGTACGGGATGTAAGTGAAGCCACCGGCCGCCATATTGGTACTCCCTATGTAGACCGTTATCAATAGACATTGGCTGCGTCTCAATTCGCAGGCTGCGTCCTCGGAAGTACGCGAATTGAGACGCAGCTAATATGTGAGCTACAGCATCAGACAAAGATGATGTTCTCATTTTCAAGGGGACTTATACGGAAAAGGATTAGGCCCACTGAAAAAAAAAAATTAACTGATTTTTAAAATTTTTTCAGTTTAATAATGTTTTTTTCTGAGAAAAAAGTCAGAATTCTGACTTTCGTCTCAGAATTCTGACTGAATTCTAACAGATAACAAACAAGATAGCATCAAGCCATAGCCATGTGTTTTATAGACTAGCTCTCTTGTTTTAATGACCTTCTGCTCCTCTATTAATGAGGGGACCCCTCGGACACGTAAAAAGTTGCCTAATTCCGTCATTTTCCACCAATGTGTCACTGGCCCTCTCAAAAAACTCACATCTTTGTCCGTGAAGCTGAGTGCTCCCACATCTCTTCCTTCATGGTGTCCATCTACATTAAGATCCAAAATTCTGAGATTCAAGTCAGAATCCTGAGAAAAAAGTCAAAATTCTGACTTTTTCCCATATTAAACTGAAATAAAATTTAAAAATCAGTTTATCTTCCGTAGACTTAAGACTTTAAAAAAAAAAGATAAATTCATCACTTTGACAAACACCTGCTGTTTCAAAGCATAAGTAGATGACTGTAATTTATAAGAAAATAGGCACATTACAATGCATAGTCATTATGACGTCAATGGAGTCTATAAATCATGTAATATAACATATTATACAAATCCATCACAATAAAATGTATGTGTTTATGTGTTAATGGAGCATAATAAACACGTGCCAAATTGATACATGAATGTAATATACATGTACTTATGTTTTTACCGTAATTACATCTTACATGTGTAATACTGATAATGCATGCTATATATATATACACTATATTGCCAAAAGTATTTGCTCACCTGCCTTGACTCACATATGAGCTTAAGTGACATCCCGTTCCTAATCCATAGGGTTCAATATGACGTCGGTCCACCCTTTGCAGCTAGAACAGCTTCAACTCTTCTGGGAAGGCTGTCCACAAGGTTTAGGAGTGTGTTTATGGGAATTTTTGACCATTCTTCCAGAAGCGCATTTGTGAGGTCGCACACTGATGTTGGACGAGAAGGCCTGGCTCTCAGTCTCCGCTCTAATTCATCCCAAAGGTGTTCTATCGGGTTGAGGTCAGGACTCTGTGCAGGCCAGTCAAGTTCATCCACACCAGACTCTGTCATCCATGTCTTTATGGACCTTGCTTTGTGCACTGGTGCACAGTCATGTTGGAAGAGGAAGGGGCCAGCTCCAAACTGTTCCCACAAAGTTGGGAGCATGGAATTGTCCAAAATGTCTTGGTATGCTGAAGCATTCAGAGTTCCTTTCACTGGAACTAAGGGGCCAAGCCCAGCTCCTGAAAAACAACCCCACACCATAATCCCCCCTCCACCAAACTTTACACTTGGCACAATGCAGTCAGACAAGTACCGTTCTCCTGGCAACCGCCAAACCCAGACCCGTCCATCAGATTGCCAGATGGAGAAGCGCGATTCGTCACTCCAGAGAACGCGTCTCCACTGCTCTAGAGTCCAGTGGCGGCGTGCTTTACACCACCGCATCCGACGCTTTGCATTGCACTTGGTGATGTATGGCTTGGATGCAGCTGCTCGACCATGGAAACCCATTCCATGAAGCTCTCTGCGCACTGTTCTTGAGCTAATCTGAAGGCCACATGAAGTTTGGAGGTCTGTAGTGATTGACTCTGCAGAAAGTTGGCGACCTCTTCGCACTATGCGCGTCAGCATCCGCTGACCCCGCTCCGTCAGTTTACGTGGCCTACCACTTCGTGGCTGAGTTGCTGTCGTTCCCAAACACTTCCATTTTCTTATAATACAGCTGACAGTTGACTGTGGAATATTTAGGAGCGAGGAAATTTCACGACTGGATTTGTTGCACAGGTGGCATCCTATCACAGTTCCACGCTGGAATTCACTGAGCTCCTGAGAGCGACCCATTCTTTCACAAATGTTTGTAAAAACAGTCTGCATGCCTAGGTGCTTGAATTTATACACCTGTGGCCATGGAAGTGATTGGAACACCTGATTCCAATAATTTGGATGGGTGAGCAAATACTTTTGGCAATATAGTGTATTTTAGTTAAGATGGAAATTATTCTATTTAACTAACCATAGGGGATCTTATTTCAGGGTTAAAATTAAAAAGGTGGAAGATAAAAACAGCATGCAATATTTTTAATTTTTATTTGTAACCATTTATAAAACCCAGTTTGCTTCTCAAATAAATTATGTCTCATCCCCTACTTTGTGTTGTTCAATCAGATAAAACCCAAATAAATAAAGTTTGAGGCTGTAACATGACAAAATAGGAAAGATTTAAAGTGGTAAGAATGTTTTTGAAAGTTACTGTAAAACTGTTCTTAAATCAATATCAACACCTGAATTCATAAATAAAACACCATAAAAAATTAGGAGATGCAATAAAGAGAGCAATAAATCAAACTTTTTATTTCTTTATATAGAAAAAAATTAAGTTAAATAGTGAAACAGACCATCAAAAAAGTGGCATCTTGTTTTCAACCGATGGTCCTTAATACATTAAGCTTTGTCCCCAAAAAAAAAAAAACAATCCAACAAAGTGTAAATACTATGTTCACAGTAATAAATATTCAAAACAAAATCTTTTATATATAGACATAATATATATTTGTGTAAATATACACTATATTGCCAAAAGTATTTGCTCACCTGCCTTGACTCACATATGAGCTTAAGTGACATCCCGTTCCTAATCCATAGGGTTCAATATGACGTCGGTCCACCCTTTGCAGCTAGAACAGCTTCAACTCTTCTGGGAAGGCTGTCCACAAGGTTTAGGAGTGTGTTTATGGGAATTTTTGACCATTCTTCCAGAAGCGCATTTGTGAGGTCGCACACTGATGTTGGACGAGAAGGCCTGGCTCTCAGTCTCCGCTCTAATTCATCCCAAAGGTGTTCTATCGGGTTGAGGTCAGGACTCTGTGCAGGCCAGTCAAGTTCATCCACACCAGACTCTGTCATCCATGTCTTTATGGACCTTGCTTTGTGCACTGGTGCACAGTCATGTTGGAAGAGGAAGGGGCCAGCTCCAAACTGTTCCCACAAAGTTGGGAGCATGGAATTGTCCAAAATGTCTTGGTATGCTGAAGCATTCAGAGTTCCTTTCACTGGAACTAAGGGGCCAAGCCCAGCTCCTGAAAAACAACCCCACACCATAATCCCCCCTCCACCAAACTTTACACTTGGCACAATGCAGTCAGACAAGTACCGTTCTCCTGGCAACCGCCAAACCCAGACCCGTCCATCAGATTGCCAGATGGAGAAGCGCGATTCGTCACTCCAGAGAACGCGTCTCCACTGCTCTAGAGTCCAGTGGCGGCGTGCTTTACACCACCGCATCCGACGCTTTGCATTGCACTTGGTGATGTATGGCTTGGATGCAGCTGCTCGACCATGGAAACCCATTCCATGAAGCTCTCTGCGCACTGTTCTTGAGCTAATCTGAAGGCCACATGAAGTTTGGAGGTCTGTAGTGATTGACTCTGCAGAAAGTTGGCGACCTCTTCGCACTATGCGCGTCAGCATCCGCTGACCCCGCTCCGTCAGTTTACGTGGCCTACCACTTCGTGGCTGAGTTGCTGTCGTTCCCAAACACTTCCATTTTCTTATAATACAGCTGACAGTTGACTGTGGAATATTTAGGAGCGAGGAAATTTCACGACTGGATTTGTTGCACAGGTGGCATCCTATCACAGTTCCACGCTGGAATTCACTGAGCTCCTGAGAGCGACCCATTCTTTCACAAATGTTTGTAAAAACAGTCTGCATGCCTAGGTGCTTGAATTTATACACCTGTGGCCATGGAAGTGATTGGAACACCTGATTCCAATAATTTGGATGGGTGAGCAAATACTTTTGGCAATATAGTGTATTTTAGTTAAGATGGAAATTATTCTATTTAACTAACCATAGGGGATCTTATTTCAGGGTTAAAATTAAAAAGGTGGAAGATAAAAACAGCATGCAATATTTTTAATTTTTATTTGTAACCATTTATAAAACCCAGTTTGCTTCTCAAATAAATTATGTCTCATCCCCTACTTTGTGTTGTTCAATCAGATAAAACCCAAATAAATAAAGTTTGAGGCTGTAACATGACAAAATAGGAAAGATTTAAAGTGGTAAGAATGTTTTTGAAAGTTACTGTAAAACTGTTCTTAAATCAATATCAACACCTGAATTCATAAATAAAACACCATAAAAAATTAGGAGATGCAATAAAGAGAGCAATAAATCAAACTTTTTATTTCTTTATATAGAAAAAAATTAAGTTAAATAGTGAAACAGACCATCAAAAAAGTGGCATCTTGTTTTCAACCGATGGTCCTTAATACATTAAGCTTTGTCCCCAAAAAAAAAAAAACAATCCAACAAAGTGTAAATACTATGTTCACAGTAATAAATATTCAAAACAAAATCTTTTATATATAGACATAATATATATTTGTGTAAATATACACTATATTGCCAAAAGTATTTGCTCACCTGCCTTGACTCACATATGAGCTTAAGTGACATCCCGTTCCTAATCCATAGGGTTCAATATGACGTCGGTCCACCCTTTGCAGCTAGAACAGCTTCAACTCTTCTGGGAA